CCTACTACACACTATTTTCAACCATTCCTTCAGCCAGCTATCAACCAGCCGTGATATCGGGAGTGATACGCGTATTTAATTCTGTGGTAACCCTTGAAGAAGCACCCTTCCAGTGCTTAGTGCTTACATTGCTCACCTTATTCTGCAGTCTACTGTGGGCTCCACGTTGTTAATAAAGTTGTCCACCACCTCCACATGTCCATCTGAGATGTCATACACCATTGAACTCACCCACCCTGAGTAACATATATACGACAATACGATGACATGTTCATTGCACAAGTGTCACAGGCTTATGTCACAAGAAACAACTGGTAGCGTGTTAAGGAGTCGGTCCAGGACTGTACTGGGTAATTAAATAAAAAAGGTTCGATAGCAAGACAGAAAAAGCTCTTTCTCTCCTTCCCTTCACGCGCAGCAATATGGACTTCTTAAGCTTAGTCGCTGGTCACTACGGTGGCTCCATTGTTGTAGTAACTGAACTTTCCACCCCGCCACCTGTCCATTCTGAAGCGGCCCTCAGTGAACTCGCGTCCATCCTGAAATGACGTAAGACATACATGACATTTTCATGCACAAGTTTCACGGCCCTAAGCTATGTCACAAACAACACTGGTAGCGTTTAAGGAGCGGTCCAGGACTGTACTGGGTATTAAATACAAAAGGTTCGATAGTAAGGACATAAAGAGCTCTTTTCCTCTCTTTCTCCCATTCGAGCAGCTGACTGGACTTCTTACCTTATCCTGCTGGTCTACTGTGGCTCCATGTTGTAATATCTTGTACACCACCTCCACATGTCCTTCCAAGATGCAGCCATCATGAACTGGTGCCCATCCTGAGATGACATAGGACATACGTGACATGTTTCATGCACAAGTTTCACAGGCTAAACTATGTCACAAGAACACAACTGGTAGCGTGTTAGGACGGGGCCAGGACTGTACTGGGGTATTAAAACAATGTTCGTAGTAAGACAGAAAAAGCCCTTTCCCCCATTCCACGAGCAGCATTATGGACTGCTCTTAACTTTAGTTGCTGGTCTATCTGTGGCTCCATGTTGTATAGCTTGTCCACCACCTTCCACATGTCATTCTGAGATGCATCCATCAGTGGAAACCTCCGCCCATCCTGAGATAACATAACGACAATACGATGAAACATGGTTCTGCACAAGTTTCACAGGCAAAATATAAATTAAATAAATAAAAAAGAAGGGACAAATAAGACTCTAAAGACAATAACAAAATCAGCACCCAACATCAAATACCAGACATCGAAAAACCGGCAACAAATGGCGGGCCACCACAAATGACAAGCCCTAAAAATTCTGCAGCCCAAGAAACAAAGAATCCGACAGAAGAACGGGAACCGACGCAGCGTCGCACGGAAGCGCACCACCTAAACTAAAGAGCGTAACACACAAACGCCACCCTCACCCACACAAACGCACGCTAGCACGACCTCAGAAGAGAGCAAATACCAGCGCCAACAACGCCTACACGGAAGGGCGAAATCGCAGGATCGAACTAGCGAGCACAGTCGCTTGCAAACTACACCAGACATGCACTGCTCGGACTACACAACCAACTATCTTCCAAGACACCGACTGGTAGTTGTTAAGTAAGGAGTGGTCCAGGACTGTACTTGGTATTAAATCACAAAAGGTTCGATAGTAAGGCAGAAAAGGCTCTTTCCTTTTCTCCTTTCTCCCATTCACGAGCAGAAACAGCTTATGGACTTCTTGATCCTTAGTACTGCTGGTCTACTGTGGCCCATGTTTGTAATAGCGTGTCCACGCACCTCCACATGTCCTATGAGATGCAGCCATCAGTGAACTCGCTCCATCCTGAGATGACGTAAGACAATACGATGACATGTTCATGCACAAGTTTCACAGGCTAAACTATGTCACAAGACACAACTGGGTAGCGTGTTAAGGAGTGATCCAGGACTGTACTGGGTATTAAATACAAAAGGTTCGATAGTAAAGACAGAAAAAGCTCTTTCTCCCATTCACGAGCAGCATTATGGACTTCTTACCTTAGTCTGCTGTCTACTGTGGCTCCATGTTGTAATAGCTTGTCCACCACCTCCACATGTCCATTCTGAGATGCATCCATCAGTGAACTCCACCCATCCTGAGATGACGTAGGACAATACGATGACATGTTCATGCACAAGTTTCACAGGCTAAACTATGTCACAAGACACAACTGGTAGCGTGTTAAGGAGCGGTCCAGGACTGTACTGGGTATTAAATACAAAAGGTTCGATAGTAAGGACAGAAAAAGCTCTTTCTCCCATTCACGAGCAGCATTATGGACTTCTTACCTTAGTCTGCAGGTCTACTGTGGCTCCATGTTGTAATAGCTTGTCCACCACCTCCACATGTCCATTCAGAGATGCATCATCAGTGAACTCCATCCATCCTGAGAGGACACATGGGAATACCTGATGACATTCACAAGACATGCCTATGCACTAAACAATGTAACAATAAACCACCTTTGGCAGTTCTACAGCACACATTAGTTAGAGGCCATAGAGCACATGCATAGAATAATAGGCAGAGCCAATCTACGATAGTGGTCCCCATTTTACTTTTACCACATGGCAGAGTCAAAATGTCTGCTCTTAGTTGCCTTGTATAGATCTGGTCAGAAAATGTGTGTATTAACACCTTACGTTTTCTGTTATGCCCAGTATAGTAATGTACATGTCATCTGGTATTGTCTCTCAGGATGAGTCAAAGTACACAAGCATAAAATGTCAATTAACGATACCTAAGAGTGCATTGCAGCTAGAGCTAGTTTGTAGAGTACATTACTGCTAGATATACGTACAGTTTGAGCACTGCACAGGACAACGCCCTCGCTGCCCATTGCTTGTGATTACTGAGTTTTGTGTCTTTCCATGTTTACTGTGTAAGATATCCACAATCTACTGTAGTGACATGGGACAAGAAAGAAACAATCGCTTGGTGATGATGCACACCTCTGTCAAAACTCAAAACCTGGAGACATTTTAATGAGAAAAACCGCGCTTAAACTGGTTCCGGCCACTGGGTAAGTTTACTGAAGAAAGAAGGTATGATAGTGATGATGATGGAGGACACAATCATGAAATGACATGTAAGCGAATTCTCGCATTAGTACATACGAGGTCGATGGATATGTATAGGTATATTTGGCCTTTTACACAATTTGTATGCATTTGGAAGGCCTAGCGAGTCATTGTTGCCGACTATTGAGGCTTTTTTATGCTGATCACGTAAGATAAAAATGTGACAATGTGTAAGCCGGTTTTGATAGATATACAGAGCAAGCGGACCCGGTCGAGGCAATTCTGTGCTAATTAGCATATTGGCTTGTTCACTTGGTTTTCACACCATAACAGTAGTTTTATGAAAATTGCCTTTTTAAAATCAGACGCGCCGAGGGTTAATTAGCACAGGCTTACCTCGACCTGTCGACCGTGTCCGCTTGCTCTTTGTATTTTGAAGGCACAAGAAGTCACAATGAAGGGTGTGTATCGACTCCCGCATGCTATCTACTGCTGTAGCTAGCTACTAGCGGGAGACCGTGAGTAAACGCACGCCAATAGCCCAGCCCATCAATTAGATGTACCGAGCATGCGCAGTTCGCCAAAGGTTTGCACTTTAGTGCTTTCCATTTTTACAGGTAACACTACACAAATGCATGCATGAATGGTAGTTAATACCTCTTTTTGCAGGTCTACTGTGGCAAAAAAAACGGTTTTGATTCAGTATCCATGATAAGCCAATCTGGTTTCAGTTGGTTTCACGCCATAAGTCTAGAACGCAGTACTTTTACGAAATTCGCCAAATTTAAAATAATGCCAGTGTAGTCAAGCAATGAAGCCACATGTTTCTATGCTATTTTGAAAATAATAGATGCTACATGTATATGTAATTGATAAAACAGAATGCAATCTGCTGTGTTGCTGATCGCGCACCTGACCTAGACGACAGACCTTTTCAGAGAGCTCATAGTATGAAGTATGCATGTTCCCTTCACCTCACTGTTCTTAGATTACGTTTTGCACACACGTTTGCTTGTATTGCGTATGTACATATAGTGTGTGTACCTCTGCTTGCAGGTCTACTGTGGCTCCATGTTGTAATAACTTGTCCACCACCTCCACATGTCCCTCCTGAGATGCAACCATCAGTGAACTCCATCCATTCTGATAAATCGGTATGAAATGATGTCATGAAAATCAATTAGGTTCATATAATACACACAGATTGTACCTTATCTTGCATGTCTACTGTGGCTCCATGTTGTAATAACCTCTCCACCACCTCCACATGTCCATTATCAGATGCATACATCAGTGAACTCCACCCAGTCTGACATGACAAACAGAGTATGTGATTATTAAGGTTTCAGTAGACGCTCTATGTAGGAATGCCCACGTGACCTGCCTATAAACACAGGCTCAGTCCACATATGTTTGCAGGTCCTCTTCTGTGTCCAAGTGTCCATAATGTGCATTAGAATTGTTGCATGAGAAGTACCACATCCGCGATTTTATAATTTGTGTGCCATATTCTTCTTCTTTTCATTAAACTGACCTAGAGCTTTCCTAATAAGGGGTAGAGACCATCAAACTCACACCAATTAGTCACGGATTCAATGGACTACAATCTTTTTTGGGCAACTTTTTCCACAAAACAAAAGCTACCAGAGCTGTAGAGGGTATATACACAGCTAACGGTCCCATTACTGCTACCTCAGTGAATGCCAGCTGCCAGGTGCATGTATTATATGTTACTTAGACAGTGGGTGGGCTCGACTTCCCCACACACAAGCTATAGTGAGTGTACAGCAAGTGACCGCCAACCAAAAAAGTAGTGTTTAATTGAGTGCCATATTATTTCTGAGTCCGAGAAAGACCCCAGATTTACACTACAGTCTTACACTAATCCGACAATCAACTGGCACTCCAGCTCCCAGAGCACAATCCAATGACTCTTTATCTCCATCCCAAGCAGCACTGAGAAGACTGGTCTCCTGTATATACATGGTACCAGTGATGGTACAGTGTATAAAATTTCACTTACATTTAAATGAAGAACGATAATCTTCTCTCCATTCACAAGTTTTCTAATACCCTCCTGTGCCATTGCATTGCAATGAGAGAGAGAAATTAATGACCGACAAATAGTATAGTAGTGCCAGTGAAGAGTGAGTGGATTGGGGGTGTGGCCATCATACACCAGATCACTAGTGGGGATACCGAGAAAGGAGCTGGTGAGACTGTGTATGGTGTTGTACTGTGCTCTTGTGAGGGTAGGACCCTCCAATTGAGCAGTGACGAGGTGGCTATCTGGAGGAGGAGAAGAAGGCTGGGTACTCGACTCTCCAGAAATCATGACTTCATCTTCCTCTTGTTGGTGGGATACTGCCTCACCCTTCAGGAGACTCTGGAACTCTGAGAATGAAGGACCTTGACTGTTGTATGTATAATGTTTTAGGAACTCACTGTTACGGAGTCTCTCTGAAACATGTAACTGTCCTGCATTAGCCAAAGCCATACAGAATGTTGGGAACATCCCAACTATATCATCAGCCTCTCGGAGTGCCTCTACTATTATATGTACTTTCTCTAGTCGACTGCTCTTTGCCCAAACTTCTTCTCCTTGTGGCTGTGTCAGCAGCCTTCGTTGCACCAGGTGTGGCACTACTTCATCTGGTGACATCTCCTCCAACAGGCAGCCGTAATTGATAGCAATAGCTTGAAGCCCTAGTCGAATAACTTTGTACTCCAACTGCATGGCTGTAAACGAGTAAAGTATAAACTCACTATACATGTACAATAGAACATACTATACCAAAAGAGGAGTCGTAGACGATGAATCCGTCAATGGTGAGAGTGGTGACGTGATGCTCCATCATGCTCTGACTGCTGGGCTTGACAGAGTTCTGGATGTAGGTCACCAGAGAACGAGGAACCCGCCATGTCACCTCCACACACCCTCGAGCAACTTTCACGAGGTTGAGGGAGAAGTCATACAAGGACAGCTCCCGGCAGACTTGAATGCGAAACTTCTCAACATCTTCCAGTGTAGCGGTTCTCCAGTCCATTTGGTGCTTACTAACCATCGTGGTAAACCTTCCATTGATATCTTCTGGCTCATCAGGGCCAACTTGTGAAAACACCTCGAGCCTTGTTTCTTTTCTAAAATTTCCCACCTGCTTTGCATAATCTGCTATTTTTTCTTTCAGACTAGCACTTCCATAGAGATCTATGACATACTTCAACAGGGGGTAGTGGAGGCAGTGATTGTGCTCCCCAATAATATACATTACTTCATCGGTTGATTTAGCTTCTTTGATTTCAGCCTTTGCTTTCGAAAGGGAATTTTTTTTGAGATTTGGTGGGAGAGAGAGGAGGGAAAAACGCAACTTTTTAACTGCAACATTGGCACTCAACTCCTCAGCAGCACAAAATGAAATGTCAATATACTCTTTCTGCAACTGATCTATCATTTCACTTGTCTTTTCAAATTCTACGGAGGACAAAGTCAAATTCTATTACCCAAATCAGAAACTCGCACGGTCAAAAAACGCAGACTCGGCCACCCAAACTCAAGCATACTAGAGAATATCATACTAGATGAATTGCTGCTATTTTTTCTTTCAGATTAGCACTTCCATAGAGATCTATGACATACTTCAACAGGGGGTAGTGGAGGTAGTGATGGTGCTCTCCAATAATATACAATACTTCATCGGTCGATTCAGCTTCTTTGATTTCAACTTTTGCTTCCTCTGTGCGAAATTTCTTAAGATTCGGTGGAAGAAAGAGGAGGGAAAAACGCAACTTTTTAACTGCAACTTTGGCACTCAATTCCTCAGCAGCACAAACTGAAATGTCAATATACTCTTTCTGCAACTGATCTATCTTTTCACTTGTCTTTTCAAATTCTACGGAAGACAAAGTCAAATTATATTACCCAAATCAGAAACTCGCACGGTCAAAAAACGCAGACTCGGCCACCCAAACCCAAGCGTACTAGAGAATATCATACTAGATGAATGCTAAGCACTGTTGGCGAGCGGAAGCGATCCAACTGCAGATATAACAAGTAAATTAAAAATCCTGCGAATTTTAAAAAGAGGCATATAGGGATGGTATAAAAAGGAAGGTAGACGAGATAGGGATGTTGTGGGGTGTCAGCGTGCTCAAATCTGTTCATTCACCATGCTTCATGTATCCCATCCCTATCTTTTCTCCCTTTCCTTTTATACCATCCCATGCCTCCTTTTAAATTCGCAGAATTTTTAATTTACTTGTCTATACTAAGTACTACCGTACTTAGTGATACAGCCATTGGTGAGCATGCACAGAGAGTTTGTCGCATAGCGACTCACCTCTTGTGCGCGAAATGCTGACAAGAAGGACATGTTTTCCAGTGGTAAGTCGCTAGATGCTACCTCCTGCAAGCTGTTTTTGAGCTGCTCGGCTGTTTTTGAAGCGAGAGGCTGCCTCCTGCGAGCTCTGCTGTCGTATATATAATATATATACGCATACAGCACACGCGCAATCCGCACACGTGATGCTGGCGGTTATTTAGAGTTAGCCTTGCTCCCAGGCTCTCGCTCCCCGTGAACAAATTTTAACATATGTCCTTTGAACTCCCAGAGAAGCGGAGAGAGAATCTTTGCATGTGAGTGACGTCAGGGCAGACACGTTTTTGCGCTAGGGTAGACACGTCCTTTTTTCCATTCGGGCCTCGGTAGCGTACGCGGTGAGCGAGGGATCTCATCAAGGCTTTTTGATCCAACACTATGTCCTTCTCCACCACATTTACAGATCTAGAATCAATGGAAAGGCCTGGAGTGTTTCTACTCTGACCCGACTGCACAAGTGAGAGTGGGGAGTCAGATCTCTCGTGTGATAAAATTCCAACGAGGTGTCAGACAAGGCTCTGTTATGTCGGTTAACCGTTCTGTCTCCTGTGCAGTTATAGCTTGTGATGGACCCCCTCCTCATCACTGTCACTGATGCTGTCTCTATCAGGCCTCTAACACTATGCCAATTTATGCCCTCTCATTTCATCGGCCTACCCATGTGGTGTTTAATATGGAAGCTAAGCTTTCTAAACCAACCCCCCAATTCCCACCAATCAAGCATCAGCTTACATGTTTTCAACTCTCTGAGAAACCAGGCATCTGGTCCTCTCATGGTTACCCTTTGAATGTGCATGCGCGCTGTGATCTGTCTGAATTTGTCTTGTGCCATGCAGACCCTCACATGCCACCACACGAAAAACGTTGGTTGTACTGAGTCAGCCTGTTCAGAAAACGGTTAACCCAATCAGATTGCTGGATTCATGCGACATAAAGCCTATCTGAAATGCTGAACGGTTAGGCGCTTGCGCTCTCTTACAGGAGAGACCGTCTGGTAACCATCCATCCCCAGAAGGTTCCGTTTTCTCTTCACAGCACATTCGTATATGTCATCTTTAGCGCCTACCAGAGCAGCAGTTGCAAAATGATTGTCGCAGAGGTAGGCAGAGCAAGCAGATCTGATCGAGGTAAGCCTATTGCAGTTTATCACTCGGTTTTCACACTCTCAAACACAGTACTTTCACGAAATTCCCCAAATATAAAATCAAGCCAGTGTAGCGCTGAACCTTTTGGTATCGCTATTACACGTGGTGTCAGAAAACGTGGTAACAGACAGACAGACACACAAATTGACCATGTACCGTAACCCTTGCTGCGCATGCGCGCCGAGGGTTAATGAGTGTTAAATGATTCATTTGTGATATTACAAATTATGTGTAATTACGAGATAGCACCTAAAGCCCTCCTATCTCTTTCTTAACAGGACAATTCACATGGTACCATACGAGGAGGGAGCCCAAAGGGTGGTATCGTAAACAAGTGAGGGAATATCCCGTGCTGCTGAGGGTGCAGCATTAACCGATTTGAAGCCTGAGTGACGAATCAGATCATAGTATTGTTTGACGTAATGCTTGTTTCCACGGTAGCTAAGCATGTGCAAGATTGGGCAAGCTTGACTAGCCACAGCCTCAGGCCCTTTCACTTAGCAAACCCCAGTCTCGTTCCCAGGCCGTTTTTCCTCTCCCGCAAAACACGGCCTGGGAACGAGGCTAGGCATTTACAAATAACAAGGACAGGGAACGAGGCTAGGCTGTTGGTGGACCGGACGACCAGAGAGAGGATACAGCATGGACGTGGAGAGAGCAGCGAGTTTGCAGCTAGCGCGCAACCCCGCAGCAACATGTACGTAGCTAGCATGGTCGAGGTAACAGGGAATGTGTAGCTAGCATAGCTGCTGAGGTAACAGCATGTGTATCTACACGAACTCCTATTACGGCGGATTTTGTGGAGGAAGGAAATAAACAAGGACTGAACTAAAGCCATCACCCGGGTAGACCATAGTCGAAAAGCCACGAGGCCTTGTCTGGTCACTTGAGCTGATGGCTGCTGATATTTGTGTATAATCACTGCAGTGAGGCCAAAACGACTTCCTGAATTCATGCGGTGAGGCCGTCGAATTTCCTTAAAAATATATCCATCGTTCAGGCGAAAAATCTGTAGATGTAATCGATGCCTTTACATAGTAGCTAGTTGTTTTGTCACCTCACACATTGCAAGCATGCTTAACCGCACAGTGCTCGGCTCAGTGATCACGTGCAAAGTAGAGCCACAGCTCTCCATACTCATCCATTTAACCCAAACTGTGAAGCCTCGTGTCTTCGCCTCGAATTTTCTATCTATATAATTATATATATACATATAATAAATTAGATATATATTATATATACGATGCACCGTCGTCTTAGTGCGCATGGGTTAGTATTACGCGCTTCTTATTATACGAGATACTGTGCGGAATTTTTCTCCATCCTCTTTACAGTCCGTCCAGTTGGCTTCGAAGGAGATGGATTCACAAGCGGAGGATAGTTTTCTTCGTCGAAGAAAAACAGACAGAGAATCGTGTTTTTGGCTCCACTCTATGTAGGCCAGGTCCTCACGACAGAGAGGCTTGTCTTTTTTTAGGGACCATTGCGAGATCTTGAGCGGGCAAGGCAACGATACTGCTTCTGGTCCAAGAGGTAAACAGACAGAACGCCCGGCCGTCGAAAGTCCTCACGACAGAGTGGCTCGTCTTTTCAGTGACGGTAAGCAATGGAGAGGGGGCGCGGTCACATTACCTTTACGTTGCTACCTTCTTCTGGTCTAGTTTCACTAGCTACGTAGTCGTATGCGCAAGCTGCCTTACTCAACCTATGACAACACCATAATAACGTCTGTTACTTGCTGAAACATGTAGGTATATACGTAGCTATATTATCGCTAATGATGGTTGTATAATAATATACTTGAGTTTTCGTTCCGCTTGCCTGAAGAATGCCAAGCATTTCCACTATTAACAGTATGGGTAAGGCAGACATGCACTAAGACACACATGACAGTACTGGTTACCGACACACATGAAAAGCACTAAAGTGCAAACCCTCCGCGAATTGCGCATGTGGATATACTGCTAATTGATGGTCTGGGCTATTTGTATGCGTTTACTCGTGCCTCCCGCTAGTAGCTCGCGGAGAGTCTGTACTACTGTAACTAGAACGTGTCAGACTCTCTACGAGCGCTGCCCCCTAAGGAATAATTTTACAGGGGCTCCAGCCCCCGCAGCCCCCCGCAACCTGCAGTAGTTGGGCGAGCGGAGCAAGCCCCCCTAGCGCGGGTGGAATTACCGTCCGTCGTAGTTATGCGCATGCGCCGATATTACGCGCTTCAACTAATATTGGGCGGGCCTGGTGGCACGTCCAGCGAGCGATGATACTCACTGCTTCTGTTCACAGAGGTAGACAGACAGAATGCCCGGCCTTCGAAAGTCCTCACGACCGAGAGGCTTGTCTTTTTCAGTGACGATTACGAGATCGAGAGCGGGCAAGGCAACGACACTGCTGCTGTTAACAGAGGTAGGCAGACAGAACGCCCGGCCATCGAAAGTCCTAACGACAGAGAGGCTTGTCTTTTTTCAGTGACAATTTAGAGATGGAGAGCTGGCAAGGCAACGTCGGACTACACATTACCGTTCCGTGCTACTTTTTTCCGGCAGTTTCACTGCAACATAATGTAACAAGCAACACCACAAAAAAATCTGTTACTTATAGAAACATTTTACCTGTAGGTATATACGTAGCTCGCTAGTAATGATGATGGTTGTATATACTTGCGCTACAGTACACGGTTCCGGAGAATTGTGCGTGGGCGTATGTTTCAGACATTTTTTTCAATAGCACAGCTAAAACGCTCGTGATTTATAGTGAATTTAGGCGGATTTTTCCTACCTTGTTTTCCAAACTCATTAGCATATTCATATTCCTCCTACATACATTCTCTATGGGAGAGAAAACTCGTGCGCGACTCACCCTGGAGCGAACGGTCCGTCTCCATTATGCGCAGTGGCCTGCTTCGGTACGCGGGAAGCTAATTTTATATAAAAAAACAGGCGTGACCTGGTGGCAAAGGTCAACGTGAAAACGTAATGCTCAAAACTTGGCCACACCTATTTTCCGGGATGGCTCTAATACGCCTGCGCATGCCGCAGGAGGCACATCGAAGGAACGCCATTGCGCATAATGGAGACGGACCGTTCGCTCCTGAGTGAGTCGCGCATGGGTTTTATCTCCCATAGAGAATGTATGGAGGAGGAATATGAATATGCTAATGAATTTGGAAAACAAGGTAGGAAAAATCCGAGAAATATACCTAAATTCACCATATATCACTAGCGTTTTTTCTGTGCCATTGAAAAAATATCTGAAACATACGCCTACGCACAATTCTCCGGAATCTTTTAAGGGCTCGCTCCGCTCGTCCACAGAATGCCAAGCATTTCCACTAGTAGATACAGCATGCGAGAGTCGATACATGCCATTCGTTGTGAATTCCTGAGCCCCCAAGGCACACAGGAGCGAGCGGATCAGGTCGCGGTAAGCCCAGTGCGATTATGCATTTTGGTTTTTTCACTTATATCTCTCGAACGCAATCGTTTGAGGAAAATCACTCTTTTATTTTTCAGGCTCGCGTAGTCCTGAAGCCACTAAAAGGCCGCCTCGTACACTGTAGTACCAGAATAAGTGTCGCCACACACATAGGCACACAAGTACTGTAACCTCGCCGCATTTACACCGAGGGTTAATTACATCCAACCTTTGCTGTCAATTTGGGGGCCAGTTACAATAGGAGATGTGGTAACTGATGCAGCTGGTGCTACACCATCAGTATATCCAGTTTCAGTTGGAGCCGCAACTAAGAGAAACATTACTAGGTAGTACATAGGTATGCTACAAGACTTATATACTTACCAGGTGGTATGTATGGTACAAGTTTACATGCCACATCGGACATGGCAACAGTAGGATGATTTAATGCATCATAGAGATCTCTCCAGGTGCATGGCTCAATCTTCTTCAACCTTGTCTGGATCATGAGATTGAACTTCTTGTCAAGACTCATCCCTCCTTCCGTTTCAATGCACTCCAGCTCACGGACGTCTAGTTTGAGTCGGGTTCCAATGTTATCCCATTTTGATCTTGCCGCCCACAGAGCCTCTTGGACTCGGGCAAAATCATGGATAGTCAACTGTATAGGGGCGTGAGCGGTTCAGCGCGAAATAAACGAGTGTCGTTATTTTAGTCATGAAATAGGGCTGCCGCTCAGAAACAACCGGGCGAAAGATGCCACGCCTCTTTTACTATAAGATAAACCGTTGATTCATGGCTAGCAAGCCAGATATAAGTATAGCCCAGAAAAGTATGATGGGTAGCTAAGTTCTCAAACCTGATTAGACATGGTTTCCAGAGAGCAGTAGCTACAGAATCGACAGCCCGCCCGCCCCCTATTGTACTTCGGTCAAAGGTGTTTTCTTGCTCAATTTAGTAGCAATTACGTAATGAATTTCCGGGGGTGTGGCTTCATTACGTTTAACAAAAGCCTCTTATTTGCCGCTCGTTCCCATACGACCGCGCGCTCGCTACGATGGAAACCAGGGAAACGGAGATACTTATCGGTTCTCTGCATAGACTCACGGAGCTTTTGGACTCCCTTCATAAGGACGTCGAATGTCTAAATAGGAGCGCGAGCGGGACGGACCACGAGGCGGAAGACACCGCAATACCATGTGATGCCAAGAGAAAAAAGATGCGGAGCTCTGGACAGCTGTTACGGGCCTGTTGGCCTTCATCAGCAGAGCATACCGCCTGGCATCACGAGTTTATAAAGGCTGGCGTGAGCGCAGCACTTGTGGTTCTGAACTAATGAGATTCATCCCCACAAGGCTTTAATTCATTTGCTACTGGTATAATATATGTGCTGACCATGAGACATTCGTGGTTTGGAGCCCCCACTCCTGCTGATAAGATTAGCAACGATTGTGCGTGGGCGTATGTTTCAATGGCACAGCAAAAACGCTGGTGATTTATGGTGAATTTAGGTATATTTCTCGGATTTTTCCTACCAAAATTATTAGCATATTCATATTCCTCCTCAATACAATGTAGTTTAACCATGGGTTGAACGAGGTTAATGGGGAGGGTAGTGCTTTTGGGGTGCGCAGGGTGCACCCTCTGCGCGTGCGCAACCGTCAACTCTTATTGCAGGCAGCAGCAGCATACGCCGCATTCGGCGCTGGCTCACTGCAACACACAGCGACAGGCTCTGCAGGTTTTTCTGGGCAACCAAGCTTTCTCCCTCCCCCCTGCTTCCCTTGTAATTATTTATTTCTCCACCATTGTTACTGTGGCTGATCGTGTTTGTGGGCTGGATGGCATGCGTTTTTTTTTGTGATCACTCAACCCAAAATTGAATTATTCAGTTTACAACAGTGAAACAGTGGTATATTCTGCCGTCATCCAGGCCACATGCATACCTTACCCACAAGTGTAGATTGTGTGCAGGGGGGATCGTTATTCTCATGTGTTATACAGTAGAATTAGCATGGATTAGTAGTACGTACGTGTGCCAGCTTCGGTTACTTTTGACCCGAACTACATTAATGAGAGAAAACTCGTGCGCGACTCACCCATGCGACTTTCCGTCTCCGTTAGGCGCGTGGCCTGCTTCGGTATATACGCGGGAATCGCTCTATAGCTATACTATATTTATTAGAAAAAAAAAAGGGTGTGACTCGGGTGCAAAGGTCAACGTGAAAACGTATATACTCAAAACTGCCCACGCCTATTGTTCGTGGTGGCTCTAAATACGCTGCGCTTGCCACGGAGGCAAAAGACGCCTTTGGCAAATGGGACGGACCGTTCGCTCCTGGGTGAGTCTCGCACGGGTTTCTCTTCTCTCCAGAGAGAATGTATTGAGGGAGGAATATGAATATGCTAATGAGTTTGGAAAACAAGGTAGGAAAATCCGAGAATAATAACCGAAATTCACCATAACTCAGCAGCGTTTTTGCTGTTCCATGAAAAATATCTGACACTCACGGCCCACGCACAATCGTTTTGCTAACCTCAGGTCGCACACGAGCCAAAAGGTGATTGTCTGTGACAGAGCGAGTTTTTCTCTGCGCGGAAGCTTGCTCTTTTTGGCGGGCGTCTCCGTGTGGAAACACGCACTGGGATTTCGTTACGCCATCTGATTGAATCTGCCGACAACTATATAAACTCGGAATCTGATTGCGTATTCGCAGAACACACACTTCTCAATCTTACCAGACTCGCGCATGGAGCATGCGCAGTTGCAGTGAAATTCGCGCCGATGTGGAGGATTAGTGCTGCTGTTCATCTAGCCTCTGTTTCGCTCATCTCTGAAAACTTATAATAATCATTACAGCAACATTAATTATTTTGATGAGAATAGACCACTGAAGCGAGACAAAGGTTATAAGACTGGAAGTGTGTATTCAGCAAGGTTTCCCCAGGAGGATCCGACTTTCATCTTGACTGGGAACCTGACAGTCAGCTGCAGTGCATTCTCCATCTCCCACTGGACTATCCGTGGCCACACGAGGCAGATCTCTCTCCGACACCTCATACAGCAGCTCATCATGGAGCTGGAGAACCAGGTACACTCTTCTTACACTCCCACAGTCTTGGAGCGGTTCAGAGTCAATTCACTTGGTTTGGAGTAAGTTAAACAGAGCAGTGATGAGATGTTCTCGTTGAGAGTGAGCGGTCAATGTTGATCATGGCATTCTTGACCAAGTCGGCTGCTGAGCCCCTGGATGGTGCTGTTTGACTGCCTGTCGCTCGCCTGGCTGCGAGCGTGGATGTTCTGAGATGTATCCCCGAGAGGTAGCTACCTCTTGCGACCCAACAGTGTAACAATGTACCCATCCTCTCTACATGACTTGACTGTGGCATTGATAAACTCTTCATGCGGGGTATTTTGACTTGAACGTTTCCATAACTTGGCAGCATGATCTTCTTCTATGTCAAGTTTGTTCAGCAAGTGCCTTTACCCGATACCGTACACCATGCCATAAGCAAGATTGTTTGGGCATTCTGTCTGTCCTCTGCTGATATCTGGTCCACCGGTACAACCCAACCACTCTCCGGCAATCATCTGATACATCTCTCTGGCTGTTTAACACCTTGCCGGAGTTTAGCGTCACCAGACATGTGCGCCAGGATCCGCAGCTCAGCTGAGAAATAATCAGCCGCAAGAAAACTCCACCAGGGAACGAGACAAATACACTGCGCATGTTGACGGTAGATATCGGTGGACGAGGTTCGGAAGTGTACCATCTTTCTCTGAGTCACTCCCACTGTTGCATGCACTTCTGTAGCACTGGCTCTCAGACACAAGAGAGCAGACATCAGCAGCAGCTCCAGCCGACTTGAGCAGAGCAGCAACTTGATGCACTTCCATCTCGTACTCTTTTGGAACCATCTGTATGTTTGGGTCGGAGTTGCAACCCTCCGGTGCCGTATGTACAGGTACGTGGAGTGTATTCTGACAGAGTCCAGTCAGTGTACTGCAATCTTTTTTCAGAGGACACACAGTCTTAGTGACAGTCGAGAGACTCTCCTCCACTCTAGAATGAGTCCCAGTAAGGGGTGGACTGGCTTTAGCTTCTCCAGCACGTCTTGGCGGTGCTGAGGTGCTGAGGTGCTGCAGTCGTCTCTTCCCGCGACGTTCGGACCCAACGTCTTCGTTTGCTTCGGATCCAAAGGCGGTGGTAGCTGGAGCTCGAGAAAGTAGGACCGGACACATCTTCGGGATGACGTGAGGGAAAACTCCTCCCTGCAAGAGTATAGGCCTCGCTTCTATCTGCGCAGTCTCAGTTGCAACATCTGCTTCAGAGCGTCACACGCTCTTCCTCGAGCACCCGATCACGCGTTGAGTTCGCGGCTTCTTGTCAACCAGCCAGTGATGCATCTCAACTCCTCAGAACGTCGGTGCACCCTCGTGCTTGCAGGAGTGTCTCAGTTTGAAACGAGTAGAGAAGCGAGGATGCCGTCGGCTGCTGCTCGCATGTGGGAGTCGCGCATCCCGTGGTGGCAAGTTTGAGAGAGGCATGTCTCGGCTCCTCTGAGCGAGTGAGCTGGTAGGGGAGATAGTGGTAGACCATCTTGTGACAGTCTTCTCCTTCCATCTGGGTGAGCATCCAGTCAGCCACATGTGGGTCCGAGGCACTGGACTGAGCGAACTATCCCCAGACTGACGCAAGAATCTGCAGGTGTCTTTTGATGGAGTAAGCCCATCACTCTCGACGTTTCGACTTTGGAAGATTGACTGGGAGAGCTTTAATTTGGGAATGGAGAGAGAACTTCAATTTTCACCGTTTGCTGGTTGCAGAGAGAGACGTAGTAGGCATCCATGCTCCCCAGCATATGGCCACACCCACAGCCTGCTCACTGTGATGGGGGATTGGACACTTCTGCTGCTCATATGCTCCACAATCCTAACTCCTTATGGCCTGCTCACGCTGAAAGAAGACAGTGCCACTGAGAAGAAATGGCGGTCTGCTCAAGACACTCGGAGAGAAGGTGTGAAAGAGGAGAGAGTTTGGAGGTGACATTGATAATCAGCTCCAGACTGCGATAGGGAGACCTGGCTATTGCTAGCCAGAGACATATCTCTCAGTCGAGATTGGGAGAGAGGTGGGCACGGACTAGTAACTGTTACAGACACGGGCCCTTTCTTAGGTGATTTTTCCCTGGGTCTCCTCAGAGTGATTGCACAATCATTCTTAGGAGATTCAACAATCTTTTCCATGGTGTTCTCCTCAGGGTTTCTTGCAGAATCAGATTTATAATTCTCAGCCTCAACACCTGTAGCGTTGCTACTGTCACCACGCGAATTTAGACAACGGATGCAAAATCTGCAGCGTATAGTCCTAAAGTCATGCGCTGATTACCTAAGGTCATGCGCTGATTAGCTAAAGTCATGCGCTGATTAATGCAGTGTTTAGCTAAAGTCATGCGGTGTTTGCCTAACGTCGTGCGACAATTGCTAGGTTTAGCTAAACTCTAGCGATATTACGTAAATTCACGCGACGTTTAGGCTTGGTCCAAAAAAAGTAGTTCTGAGATAAACGGCACTTCATACCGACACAGCCACGGAAACTGCTGATGAAGAAATGGTACCTGCTGCTATAATGCTGCTGATCATAAATTATGGCATACCAGTTTCTGAAGGGGCTAGTGGACAAAACTTCCCCTCAATCTCTCGAGCCAAGCGAGGTTCGGAAATGAGTGGTTCCCTGAGGGCATCTACAATGGCTCTCCATGTAGCTAGGGCTCAGCTCCACTTGTTTCACAAACTCATCAATAATATGAAGAAGGCGATCTTGTGGATTACTGTATTGTTGAAGAATCCGATCCACCGCGACTTTCGGCAGCTTTAAAACACGTCCTAAAGTTTCTGATTTATTTTGCACTTCGAGTATCTCTCGTACAACTTCCGCGACATCTTGGGCATCCAGTTTTTTTTCGACACGGACTGTCCCTGGTTGAAAAGAAAACCAAGATGCGTAGCTAACACGGATATCCTTGGACATTTGTATACCTGTTGCCATTATTGCGTTCTCTCTGGGACATGCAAGACATGCAGACGTCAAACAACAAAAAGTGGGTGGGGCACAAAATGTATTAAATGTGCTTGCGCATGCGCATGAGCGCGACGTGGTGAACGCGCACGTGCGACGTGTGGTAGCGAATTGCTGTGCGATTGTCAAGTCAACCGGTATGCTATCTGAGCAGTGGAAGGGATACAGATTAGCCTGTAACAGGAAGAGTTGTATACAACCATACAAGTTAACTCTCGTGTACCACTGCCAATGATGCTGTAGGCTGGCAAACACGCCAGTAGCGACTGTTGTGTGCAATGAGGAAATCCTTTCCATACCTGTCGTAGGATATTGTGACGAATTCCTGTAGCATAACTCTTTAGTTCTGGCGTGGAAAACTAGTGTAGTCCACTTAACTTTTATCAGCCCCCCTCGGTTCCCTGGGCCAAAGAAATGGATGTTGGGTGTGGTTTACGCATGGCTTAGCACACTTGGTTCTGTGCATGCATACTAGTATGACATAGTGGAAATGTTGAACATTGTTGGCGAGCGGGAGCGATCCAACTTGGGATTTGTCTGCGATGTTCGGGCTGCATAACATGCCGTCAGCGCACAGCGTTCCTTTCGTGAAGCAAGACAGAGCTACCTGTCGCCGTTATATGCGTACTGCATATTGCCAGAACAGTGAGCAGGTGAGCAGTACGGTCCTTACCTTACGCTTTCAACGCTCGTCTGTCGTGGTCCACCAGGCAGCTGGCATGGCAGTAGGATAGGCAGCGATCGACCGGGCTGGCCAACAACGCGGCGTGTGTTAGCTGGTCCACCAGGCAGCTGGAATGTGCACGAGCAATCCTAGCGTATGTGCGAGTTGCAGCTTGGAACCATGAAGATTGGGAAGAGGTACAGCCTCGGTCAGTCACCGAAGGTTGCAGCGCATGCCGTCGAAAGGAGGAACAGGAGAGTTCTCTCGCTGGCCAGGCACCGTGTGTGAAAATGTGCAAAAATTTGGAAATGATTTCGGATAAAAAGAAGCGCGTACTAAGCCGCGCATGCGCACTTACACGACGGACGGACGGACCACGGACGTAAATTTCGGCTCGAACGAACGACTAGGTTGGCTCGCTCCCGCTCGCCAATAAGTGAGGGCGTGCTAAACAACCACTTCATGTCGGTGGACCAGACTCCTTCTCCCAACAAGTAAAGAGTCTTGCTAAGCAAGACTAAAAGTGTGTCCTCTTACCATTTTGACCCCAATTTCTCTCTACCATCAGTTGATGGAGGGGAGAGGGCGGTGATATTTGACAGGTTCTGGGGAGACCTCCTGCAGGTGGTGGGGGAGGTAACCCACTTCCTCATCTCCTGGGTCCAGAGACCCATCATCATCTTCAGCGTTAGAAGCAAACCATGTCGCATCCCCGTCATCCCTGGGAGCAAAGGTACTGGTTACAAATATTGTGGCATTCTGAAGTGTGTTATACGCAGTGTAGACTCGCAAAAGCTAGCGGCGCGCATTCACAATGCATTTGTGTCCAATTTGATACCGAGCTCACTGTGTGACTACTACTTGTACAGTGGGAGGGTGATTCCCGGCTAAGTGTAACACATTTGTTGTGGTCTGCATCCATCACAGTATGGCTAGTAACTGTTTGCAATTATTTTGGCTTCCTGAAATGTGTTACGTGTTGGTGAAAATGTGCACTCTTGCCACTCCAGACTGTTACGTAACTTGGAGCACTCTTACTCAATCACCATTGTGCCTTTGTACACCACAAACATTACACCTGTATCTCTGAGTTTCTAGAAGAATCACCTCGATGCATATAAATAAGTCAGGGTTTGTGATTGTATTTACTCGGCAAATAATATTCTTTAAAGCCATCATTACGTACCCCAGACTCACAACCCTCATGCAAATGGTGTTGTGATTACACCTAGATGCATGCGTGACCAATGGATGTTTTGCACGGAAGTAATTAGCATACGTCCTTTAGCAACGGTGGCCATCTTTGATGGCTAATCACGTAGCAAGGAAAGCGTGCATTTGACGTCAAAGATGGTTGAGTTCCGGAAAAGCGTAATGTTCTATTCTATGTGGAGATCAGTTGTAGGGTTGGAACGCTACACTGCCAAGTGTGAACATTATTACTAGAGGTTCCCTGTTCTCTCTGTAGACTCACCTGAGTTTTGGTCGGGAGTTTACTGAGGCTGTGCAGATGAAGCAGGTGGCTCAGCAGGATGCCGAGAGGGCTTGCTTCCTCATGGAGAAGGTTAGCAGACAACTTCACACTTTTAATACAACCACCCTTCCCACTTGTAATTTTCTGCACTCTCTCTCACTCCCTCTTTTATTAATACTTCCTCGTCCCTTATCATCTTTCCACTCTCTTCTCCTCTCCTCTCCATTCTTTCTCAACTCCCCTCCTCTCAAACACAACTCCTGTTTTTCCCTCCCTCTCTCTTCATCTTGAGGTTAAGACGTACTATGCAACTTGTTGAATTCATAAAGGTCTTGATTAAACCTTGGCACGCATGCGCAGCGAGGGTTGCAGTAGTTGTCATATGTGTCTGTCTGTCTGTCAGCTATCTCACTTCATGAGTCATGCATGAATCGCTCCATAAACAATACCGCGTATTCAGCATCGGATATAGGTCGAAAAATGTGGGGTTTTCTCTGAAACTGCTGCATTCGGGAGGTTTACAGCGTGAAACACGAGCAAATACGTTACAACGGGCTTACCTCGAGTGGGTCCGCTTGCTCTGTGTATCTTTAAGGCACAAGAAGTCACAACGAAGGGCATATATCGACTCCTGCATGCTATTTACTTGTATCTAGTGTGCCATTGTGTAATTATACTGTACACGAAGGTTGCCTACTGTGGTGGCCTTTCAGCTGTGTATGTATGTGTGGTCCACATGTGCTCCTGGCTATAGACACACATTGTGCAACTAGCAGAGAGTTACCGAGGTTGGTATGTATAAGGAGTGCAAAAGTTTACGGCCATATTCTGTGTACAAACCTTTACAGGTGTAAGTGATGTCAGCCATACCTCTGTCTTTGTCTGTCTCCCCAGCTTCTCCTCCTCCTCCACCTCCTCCCCCAATGGGGGGAACCAAGAAGTTTGATAGGTCCACAGTCTCCCCCAAACCGGAGGACAAACCGAAGCCAAAGGTGCAGCCGCAGCTGTCGTCAGGAGGAGGTGGAGGATTCGGGCCGTTTGGATTTGACCCTTCGTCAGTGAAACTCAAGAAGACCTCAGGTCGCCGTGGGGCCTCTACTCTGCCTAAAGACTCACCTACACCTGGAAGTAAGTTGACTTCCATCTCCTGTGTAGTGTGCACTGTCTGAGCATGTTTTCCTGGGTGTAGTGGATTTGTTTGACTTCGTGACATGCAACAAAAGTGTATGAAATCTCTATACAATACAAAATTGGTGTGTGACTGAGTGTTGCATGTCAATGTGCAGGTCCCTCCTCACCTCGAGACAGTGCCACTCCACCTGCCCCTGCCCCTGTAATTGGGGGTCCTAACTGGAGCAAGGCCCGACCTTCACCCATCGTGGCCCAGAAACCGAGACGAGACAGTTTCAAGAGAGATAGCTCCACCAGTTGAGGGGTACCTGCCACACCCCCTCCTCCTCCCCCTGCGGGTGAGTCATCCAGTGACCTCAGTGATGTCATAATGATGTAATCCTCTCTAGGTGGCCTAGGTGGCGCTCCTCCACCACCTCCCCCTCCCCCTCCACTTGGAGGAACAGGTATGTACACACTATGATGTACGTAAGGTTTTGGAGCTCACTCACACTGAATGTTTTCTAAATCCAGAATTCACGTTTCTAAGTGCCTGCGGTGCTGTTACCCCACGCAACCCGCGCACACGGAAATTGGGTGTGCGTCAATTAGAATTCACTCTCGGGCAGCTCATCCGTTAAATATACAGCCCTCGGGCCCTTTATGTACATCTTCACTACGCTCGGAACGGCACAATTCAAGGGCTTCTATGCATGTAGATTTCAGGGACTCCCTGTCTAACTAGGTATTATGTAGCATTCACTACAATTCACTTGCATCTTTTGTGTAAGTGACTATTAAACCCAGGGTAGGTGCAATTACAATCACATTCCACAATTTATTTAGCCGGAGGAATTCCAGTACACCAAGCATGCTCTTGCATATTTTGTCTTGATGATTTTTACCCCTGCCCCTTTAATGAACTACATCATGTGTTGTGCAGGTCCAAGGAAGACCACATCCCCAGCCACCCAACCCACTGCTCCAAAACCAAAATCCAGGGAGCCACCTGGCCCCGCCCCCTTCAACCCGGAGGACATCTTGAAGGCACGACTGAGCAGCCGGAAGGGGTCCAAGCCCCCAGTGGACCTCCCTCCCCCTCCCCCTCCCTCTGAACCTGACTGGGCCCCCAAGAAATACCTCGAGAAAGGTGGGCAGCTATTAGAAATGGGGTGAAATTTACTAATAGTGAATTGAGCCTAACAAAACCCACTTTCTTCATGTATGTCCTATTTCAGATGTAGCCAACCTAATCATTGGCTACTATAGTCATGCGCTCTTTCGTGGCCTTAAAAGGTGATTTTTGTGAACTACAAGTTTACTTGTATTACGTAAGTATGTAGCTTGTGCTGGTATGAATAGACAGAGACAGTAGCAAACACATGCAGAAATAAGTGTGACCACTTGGATGCACTAGTGTACCTACTACGGTATTCAATTCAAGGTGTTAGATACACGTAGCTATCTTTGCCCTACAGTGAAGGCCATCTATGACTACACCAAAAGACAGAGACGACGAGTTGACCTTTGTCATGGGAGAAATCATCTACATCGTGAAGAAGAATGACGACGGGTGGTACGAGGGAGTAATGAACGGAGTCAACGGGTTGTTCCCTGGCAATTATGTGGAGACCGTGTCACCCGGCAATATGAATGGCATAGGTTTTTTCACCTCAGAATAGACAATTGTACACTTCTCCTATAGTAACTGATATGACACTCATTTTGTTGCATACACTAGATTTGTGTGTCGTGTGTTTTGAACGTAGAGTATTAACCATGATTATTCTCTCTGTTACTTACACATTTGTGCCACTATGCACATGCACACATGTGTCAACAACCTATGCACATGTGTACACGTGTGTCAACGAGGTAACAAGGTAGAAAGGCAAGGCAAAGCAAATCAGCTGCACACATACTAGGCAAGGCTTCGTAATAATATGGCATGAAGAGAAAGTATTCTCATCTCGACCATGTTCCGACTGTTCACTGTTTAGTGAGCTTTTTTGAGACATCAAAATTCTAAGTTACACCAGGGATGAGAAGGTAGCTATAGCAAACTCTCACAATTAGGTCAAAAATATACTCTTAGTCGTACAGAATTGAGAACAGGTTTACAAAATGCTAACAATGGTTCAACAAAACTTTATGATAAAGTCGGTGGCTGGGGGCAGCAGGATGAACTTATTGGAGTGTGACATCTGTGGTAAAATTATGTTTCTTTTATTCGTTTGTTCACATTTGCTATTGTAGCTAAGTCAGATATTGACGGCAAAGTATGTTTTATGGGGTTATAATCATCGTCACTATTTTCCGAGGAATCGTCAATTTATTGATCATTATCAACTTCCGACTAAAGGGTCACTCTAAGAAACGAAGTGTAATACGGGGCTCTAGGGAGAGCCGGTCATAATCATGTTCAATATAACGTTTTATTAGCAATGTGACCTTCCTAAGAGTGTGGTTCTGTTGCAGTGATTGCGATATAGCTGAAAGTTCTTCATACAGTAGTACCCGACGAAGAGTCAATTGCTGAAGGGATTTATTATCGCTGATGAACTGGCAAAGTTTTTTGATGCCATGGACTCTAGTAGTGGGTAGCTACACCAGTATGTGACAGGTAAATGGTCAAGTTTCTAATATTTAGATTAATGGCACATAGAGCTTCGAATGCTTTCACAGGGAAACCATACAATTGGATGGTTTCCAACGATAATGACAAAGCGAGTATTTTCTGCAATACACTGCATGCTCCATGAGTAGACGAGGTAACGTCCTTTATATCTAAGTTCAGTGTTTTTACGCAGCTTGTTTTTGTCTGTAGTAGATCTAAGAGTGCCGTCACATCAGATTTCTCCAAGGTCATGCCTCTCAAATCTAGTGAAAGAGGTTCTCTATGTTCCCTCAAGGCTTGCATGAGTCTTGGTATGCCTCCAGGCCCGCCTGGATCCCCCTCAGGTCAAGTGTTGTTAGAGAAAGTGTATGCGGAATACACTCGGCTAAGTTATGCAATCCATTTTGGTCAATCCCACAATAGTGAAACGTTAAGGTTTTTATCTTGCTGAGGATATTATGTGGCAAGGCAAGCAAGTAATTTTTTTTGTTGAGAATTACTCCAAGACAAGAGTAGAAACGTAAACGCTCAATACTCCCACGTACATATTGAACTGACTTCATCCAATGACCCATCATTTTAAGATCTTCACCATGCATACCATCAGCTTTCAAACTCCACTTGTTCCCAAATCCTGATATGCAGTAGCCAAGAACAAAAGCATCATAGTTTGTTACACTCCCTGGTGAGTATAATATATTGCGTGAAGAAAAAAGAGTTTTTACGCTGTATGTATCTTGTGCCTCATATAGACACTGACAGAAGAATGGTGTTACTCGATTATCGTAGACAACGTCCCATCCTATGTTCTCCATTTTAGTCAGACCTGCCACAAACCTCCACACAACAGGCATTGATTCATACTGGGGTCAACTGGCTGGGAGCTGAGCTATGTAAAAGGCACTCATGTACTCCTGCATTGTTAAATGAAAAAAGTTGAATGTGATGCTTTTCTTTCGCCTGTAGAGTGCTTGGTGTTCAATGAGTAGACCTAGGTCAGTGCAGTTTTCTGGAATCCTCTCAAAAATAATGGTACTGTTTTGTTTACCTTCATACGCTAACTTTCCTATTTCAAACAGCTGCTTATAGAGAGGGCTATCGTTAGGAATGTCACTTAGGGTATCAGGTAGAGCAGTGGCTAATGGATCCCCGACACCACTGAGATACCTCGACAGACGCCAAAGAGCCATCTCAGTGTAGAGCTGGGTCTGTGTGTGGGGAACACGCTTTTTTGATCTCCACGTTTCACTAAAAACTTCAGTTATAATGGAGCAGTTCAAGGGATTGTACATCATACTCCTGATGACAGGGTTGACATGCAAGTAGTCATCAAAACGGGCAAGGGTCTTTGACTCTGAACCAAAGACATTGGCAGCAAACTGCTGTATTTGTTCCTCACCAAAACCAACAACCTCGATCAGTTTGGTGCTATCCGACCGCATTAGTGGTTGGAGATGTAGTCTAGCTGAAGGCCTACTTGTGACTAGAACGGTGGCATGTGGAAGAGCTTTTCCATTCAGCACCTTCATGACATATGAAGCGCTAGGAGTCTGTCGGAGATGAACAGGAAATTCATCAAAGCCATCAAACAAAAACAGAACACCCTTCCCGTGTCTCTTCCTAACCTCTTCGACCAGAGTGGCATGATCTGTAGGATGGTCCTCCCAAGGAAGGAGATCCCCTACTCCTTCAGCTAATCCAATCTCCTTGTCTCGTAGCTTTAAAAGCACCACGAGGGAAAAGGGCTGGAGTGAGAGCATTTTAAGCCACTGTCTACAGAGCTCCAACACAAACGTGCTCTTACCAATACCAGGTGCCCCTTCTACTATTACAAGATGTAACTTTGAATCATTGTCCAACGTGAACACCTTATCCATTGGAATTTCTTCCTTATGTTGAAATATCAGATCAAGGTCACCTTCAAGCGTAAGATGTGTGAATTCATTAGCATCTTGGAGGTTGTTTACTTTAGTGCCTTTTACAAGAGCAAGCTTGATATAAGGTGTGTTCACCTCGGGGGATAGTTTATCGGGATAGGTAAGAGGAGCATTGGCATACACACTCCTGAGATACTCAGCATAGTGCAGGAGGACTGGAGGTGAAGAAGGGTAGCATGGCCGTTTTGATGGTGGTGTAGTTAAATCACCTACATGAGATGGGGACATTCAGGTAGACATTGTGTTATACTGCTGTGGCTGTGTCTTCTGTATAATATATGGTATACATTATGTATAACATACAATATATGTACTTATTGTATTTTTCGTGGGCGAATCAAAGGCGCCGCCAGTACTATATTCATCATACAGAACGGTTTTTGAATGAACTGTACTATATCGCGCGGAACTGTACTATATCCGCGGACTAGCGTACGCTTTGCGGAAATGACGCCTCGGCGGCCTTTCGTAGACGGAGGTCGACTCAGACGGTGACACAAACAGCTGCTGGAAGGGCGCTCCGCGAGCTTCTAGTCCTTCTGAACTTGCAAAAAAATATTTTCCTGGCCGCCGCCTTATCCGCGGACTAGCGTACGCTTTGCGGGAATGGCGCCCTCGGCGGCCTTTCGTAGACGGAGTTCGACTCAGACGGTGACACAAGCCGCTGCTGGAAGGGCGCTCCGCGAGCTTCTCGTCCTCTCTTCCGTTCTGAACGCCGGTTTTCCTGCCTGGTCGCCGCCTTTTGAATCGCCCACGCATACGAAGCACGTGCTGTGCGCGTGATAATGGTACTCGGAACGTGGTCTCGATAAATAGATCGATCATACAGACAGACAGCAACTCGGCTGCGCCTCGTGATGCTGTATGACTATCTCGACCACGCCCCTCGTACCATTATTATTACGCGCACAGCACTGACTTCCGTACATTAACTTATATACCTACAGCTGTATATAGCTGCATGAGTTGTTGACAACAGGCACATATACAGTACACGTGAGTATATACCGCGGACACATTCGCAGATAAAATAGGCCACGTGTACGTGTCTGCTCTTTGAGGCAAGTTTGTAAGGTGTTTTGTTTTGGGATGGGAACGTCACAACAATGTAAAAGGAAGGGGTGGAGTAATCATTCAATGAAAAGCACTGAAGTGCAAACCCTCGGCGCACTGTGACGCGCACGCGTAAGTAAACGCATGCGCCGTATCACTAATTGATGGGCTGGGTTTAGTTTTAGCTGTTACTCCTTGTCTTTTGTCAGCTCGCGCAGAGTCTGACGCGGGCTAACTACACAACTAGATAGCATGCGAGAGGCGATACACGACCTGCGTTGCATCTTCTGGGGCCTCCGAAGTATGCAGAGCACGCGGATCGATCCAACCCCGGTAAGCCATCCCGGTCCGTAACCGTTGTGTATTTGCATATTGGATTTTTCGCACTCTAGCTTTACAACGGAGCATTTTAAGAGAAAACCGTTCGAAATTTCTGACCTTCATTGCCCGTTCAGTAGGTGGTATCCTTTGTGTGACGAACGAACACTCGAGAGGTGAGATGAAGAGTAACAGACAGACACACACACAAACCCAATGAAAAGCACTAAAGTGCAAACCCTCGGCGAACTGGGCATGGGCGGTACCGCTAATTGATGGACTGGCCTGCTATTAGTATGTAGTATACTCGTGGTCTCCCGCTAGTAGCGTCTGACACGGGCTAGCTATAGTAGTAGATTGCATGTGGGAGTCGATACACCCCCTTCGTTGTGACTTCTCGTGCCTTCAAGATACAAACGCATGCGCATTTTCCGCAGCGATAAAAATGGCCGACTAGCATTAGCCGTACAATGGCGGAAGCGCTCTAGCTTTGCAACGAAGCATTTTCAGAGAAAACCGTTCGAAATTTCTGACCTTCATTGCCCGTTAAGTAGGCCGTATCGTTTGTGAGAGGAACAGACATTCGAGAAGTGAGAGTGAGAGTAACAGACAGACACACACACACACACACAGACAAACCCAACTACAGTACCCTCGCTGCGCATGCGCGCCGAGGGTAATGAAAAGCACTAAAGTGCAAACCCTCGGCGAACTGCGCACGCGCGGTATCACTAATAATTGATGATAGGCTAGGCTTTCGTGGTGTTCGCGCTAGTAGCTCGGGTAGAGTATGACACGGACTAGCTACAGTGATAGCATGCGGGAGTGGATACACGCCCTACGTTGTTCGGATTCTACGCGCACTACTAGCGTGGAGACCACGAGTAAACGCAGACTAAAAGCCCATTAGTGGTACCGCGCGTGCGCACGGGGACAGGCCCGCGCGCGACCAATAGTGCTAGTGGTGCGCTTGTTTTAGCGCAGATGTCATAGATATTGCACCAGTCAGGACAACGTTGTTGCTATTTTTATCATAGATCAGTACGTAATATACCTTGCGCAAAGAAACGTTACAATATATGACATTGCACAGTGACTATGCATTGTCAGCAACCTAGTGGTATAAAAGGACAGAGGTAGTGAGCCAGTTGCATGAAAAGAAATCAGTATGGCCAAAAAAAGGAGCTATGAGGAGATTGAGAACATAGATGAGGTGAATGGTCCCATTTCGAGCACTCAAGTCCATGGTGCCATAATTTCTCTGTCACCTGTGAAAAGGGGGCGGAAGTCAGTTTTTTTCGATGGGATGCTTGCCGATGAATCATCCAAAATACGACTAGTGGGGTTTGATGCACAGCAGCAACGAAAGCTGAACGAGTACCATCAAAATAATCTTCCAGTGCAGCTACTGAATTGCGAGGTGAAGCCTTCTCGACAAGGCGAGGGATATGAGTTGATGTTAAAGAATGGTACCCAGATCAAGCAATCTCCAAAAAAGATGGACATAGCATCGCTGATGGTCAATACTGCAGCAAAAGTCGTAACTCTCGATGAGCTGGATGGTTTGGAGGTGTTTGACAGGGCTACAGTGAATGTAAAGGTGGTGGAGTTGAAGGAGGAGATGCAGGTTGGTGGGAAATCGAAGAGGGATATCATTATCGCTGATGGAAGTGGCACGGCTAGGGTTAGTGTGTGGGAGGGACATGTGAATACAATGGAGGAGAATACCAGTTACTGTCTCAAGGATTTTATGGTCCGAGAATTTCAGAGTACGAAGTACCTGACAATGGCGAAAGAAGGGTCCCAAATCATTGCGATTGATGACATTGGAGGTGTAGTGGAGCAGACGAAAGAAGATGAGGAACTATTGCTCATCCAAAATGTTTCAATTGTTGGCATTCCGTACCTGGACACTTACAAATCGTGTCTTAAGTGCAAGGCTCGCGTGGAACCTCAGACTCCTCCCCTAAGAAAATGCTCCAAAGCCGACTGTATGATGTTACAGAGGTATGACCTCTGTACTGAGCATACATCAGCTAAGCTGATGCTGATGTACGATGACAAAGGAGAGCGGAAGAGCGTGCAGGCCTACGCATATGGAGAGGTTGTGCGTCAAATTGCTGGTTGTGGCGATTTATCGGCTGAAGGGCTACTCAAAAGAGGAGATTTCGCATCGATGACCCTGATGAGAGAAATACATCATCAAAGATGTAATCGAGTGAAAATAGTGACTGAGGCCGACTTTTCTGTTATCATTTACAAACTCATGGCATTATCCATTATCAATAGCTGGCATTGGCTTTAATCATATGTACCCTCCCTCCATTTATCACGACATTCATGTTGATTTGTATCAATTTTAATATTGTATATTTTATTTGGCTGATGATAGGTAGTTTGTTGAACTTTGTTGGAAGTTAGCTAATTACGCATTGAAATGGCAGATAGCTGCAATTGTAAGTAGCAAAGCTGGTATGTAGACAGTCATGTGTATTATACTATAATAGTGCATACTCACCACACCACTCTTCTCAGTAACTGATAGAGAGTAGATTCCTAGGTGTCCTTGCAAAAGGGAATGGTTTAAATCAAATTCAGGTATGTATGCTAAAGACTATTTGACTTCACTTGAGCACTCGAAAAATGGTCCTGTTTATTGTACATTTAATTCAAAAACTGGTTTGTTTTACATGCAATATTAGACACATTGGAATCATTGCATATTACTGGTATCTTTAACGC